GGGTGACCACCCACACGCAGACTGTCAGCATGGGGACGCCTGGAAGGACAGGACACAGGTAGGGATGCGGAGTCACCCCGGGGCTCTGGGGAGCCCCCCTACCTCCTCACCATCCCTTGTCCCCCAAAACACGCGCCTGGGTCAGGTCTGGGGCTCTGGAGGTGGTGGGAAGGTGACAGCATGTTCCCCTTCTCCAGGTTTTAAAAGGGGATGGTGCCTGTCTGTGTGTCACCTGCCGGCCCTCCCCTGCCCCCCTGTGTGCTCTTACATCCAACCTGGGCACCCAGGATGGGCATTTCCAGCCCCAGGTGGATGTGGGCAGAAGGCAAGACCTGTCTCGACCCCCTCCCGACCACGTTCAGGATGGGGCGGCAGCAGATGCTGCTGCAAAGGCTCTTTGGTCCGCGCTAGCAAACGTTTTCCCCGTTGCGTGATTTTGCACGCGAGGGCAAGGATCAGGCCCGGCCAGCGCCGGGGGCTGGCAGGAGCTGGTGAGGGCCCCACCGAGCAACAGGCCAGGCAGAGAGGTGCTGGGGCGCGGGGACATGCCGAGAGGAGCCATGGGGAGTATCGTGCCTGTGGACCCTTGGCCAGGCAGATTTCAGAGCAGCAAGTCCAGGCGATCCCCAAAAGCGGTGCCTACCCCTGGTCTGTGCCAAGGGGACCTCACCGGAGGGGGGTTGATGTGCTGGGGGCCCCGCACTCACCCCAGCCGATGAGGACGTACCACCAGATGTACCTCTTGTCGGAGGTGAAGGTGAGCAGCAGCAGGGTCTGCAGGTACATGCCCTCCACCAGCAGCCAGTAGAAGTTGGCCAGGACCGAGTACTGGAAGAAGGCGATGGCTGCTTTGCAGTTCACCTGTGAGGATGAGGAGGGGAACGGCTCAGGAGCAGACTCACCGTCCCTCCGCTCCAGGAGACCTGGGATGGACTTTCAGCGCAGCCCCAGGGACGCTGCAGCGGTCCCGCACGTCACCCGCAGCACTTGCTGCTCTGCCTGTGCGCCACGGGCAGACACCCGCAGGCTGTCACCGTAGGACCTCTAGAGACCCGTGCCTGTTGTGTCCACAGTGGTGTACCTGGGCCGCGCGCAGGCGTTCCTCTTTCTACTGGCAACCCCAAATCTGCGCAGCCGGAGGTGCAAGGCCTGTTTGCACGTACGTGATGCTGCTGGGGTTGTGCAGAGCTTTAGCCCTGCTGGGAGGCTCTCTCTGAGACCCGGGAGAACTTTGAGGGCAGAACATGGCCGCTGCAGACGAGGCACACGCAGAGATGCCGTCGTGAACCTCCTGAAGTCCGCCCAAGCCAGCCTTTCCTCCCCGGGTTCACGGCCGCTCTCTCTCCGCTTTGCAGTGCTAAATCCACTGCGAAGGCAGCTAGACCCCTCCGGATCAGCACATGGTGCCCGCTCCCGCGCCGTCCTGCGGCTCAGCACCTTACCGTTGACATCGTGCAGTGGTCGACGGACTCGTCCGAGAAGAGGACGGCGTCCTTGATGAACACGGCAGCCCCGCGCAGTATGAAGGAGGTGAAGAAGTGGATGTGGATGGAGTTCCTGGTGCAATGAAGCTTCCTACGGGAGGAAGAGATGTGCTGTGCCCAGGGAGGAGCAGAGAGGGCAGATGGGCAGAGAAGTTTCTCCTTCAGGAGCCGCTTCCCTGGCTGGACCCCTGCCCAGGGGACCACATGTTAGCAGTGGTCAAGCACAAAGCCCTGAAGAAGGTTTTCCTGCTCTGAAATCACGAACAACAGGGTTGTGCTGTGCCCAAAGCCGCCGCCCGGGGCTGAGGTGTGCTGGGGAACGTCCTCCAGCCACCTCCGGAGAGCATCCTTCTGCAGCACAGCGAGGTCTGCAGAAACAAAGCTCGAAAGGGCAACCTGAGGGTTTCAAGCCTGCGTGTCTGCAGGAAAGGACCACGCTGCGGTTCGTCTCCCTGGTTATCTGTGTCGGCAGGGCTGGAGCCTGGCTGCTCTGGGAGGGCAGAGGCTGAGAGCTGCCATTCCCTGCTCACGATTTACCCCGCTTTCCTCCAGCTGCAGCCCATGGAGCAGCCAGCGCCGAGCCCTACCTGAAGCAGGAGAAGATGCCGATGGCCAAGAGCAGGGCTGCCAGGGACGTGGAGTAGCCACAGGTGTAAAGCACCTTCATGGTGACAAAATAGCCTTTCTGAAAGGGAAAGCACCAGTGGAGTGAGGCAGCGTGGGCTGGGAGGTGCTGGTCTGCGATGGGCAGGGAGGTGGCAGGGTGATGTCCCAGCCCTTGCCCAGGCTGGGCTTGTGCCCAGCCAAAATCAGACCCCTCCGGGCAGCCCAGCCACAAGGGCAAGGCCAACGAGAGGTCCCCGAGAGCATCCTCACGTTTCATTGCCCAGCGGCATGGGTCAACATGGGGTAGGGTGACGCTAGGGAGGGTGCCCCACAGCCCCTGGGGACCCACTTGCCTTGGCCTCTGTGTCGTTACTGCTGCCCATGGCCTCCAGCTCGCAGGCGTTGTGGTAAGGGGGGCTGGGGAAGCTCCATCCCGACGCGGTGCAGTTCCTCCAGATCAGCGCTGCAGCGACAAGAAGGGACCTCGCGAGAGCCACGGGCATCGCCTCTGCATCAGCACCCCCGACACGTCCAGCCTGGGGACGGCACCGGGCTCTCCAGGACGGAGCCTAAATCCCAGCACCGGCACCCTGGCTGTGACAGCAGCATTACTGCGTGGCCCGGCTGCCCCATCCCTCCCATCCGGACCACCCCTCTGCGCTCCGGTGCTGTGCCTGGAGGTGCCAGGACCTCGCAGGGCAGGATGTGAAAGCAAGCATGAATCCCCATGGTGGGAGGGAATTAAGGCTAAAAAGAGGCTTTTTCATCCTGTGAGGGCCTCATCAAGCCTCTCCAGAGCTGCTTCTGCCCTAAAGCAAGCATTCACCCACCCTCCATCGCCCTTTCAATTCGACCCAGCTGAGGAAGCGCTCGCATGCCGTGGGGGCCGGTGGGGTGCTCTCCTTCACGCTCCGCTGCCTCCGCGATGGAGGGAGGCAGCGGCTTCTCCAGCAGTGGTGCCGACCCTGGGAGAGCACCCAGCCTTGAAATAACGGTGATCTTACACTGCATTTTTCATCTGCGTGGCTTGGAGCGGTACCATGGAGGTCAGCAGCATAAGGCTGGTGTGTGGATGGGGAAAGGAGGGCACCAAGCAGCTAAGGGACTGTCCTGGCGTCACCCCTTGGAGGATGAGGTCCCCAGGTGCTCTACCCACCGGGGACGACATCCTCCTCCTTGGCACTGGGTGAGGAAGGACCTTGGGGACTTTCCTGCTGTGGCAGCACCCTGCATCTCTGCTTTTGCCCCTTCCCGGCTTGGATTGCAATATAAGCCAAGCTTTTGGGTGGGGCGGGAGCTGTGGGACCAGAGGGAAAGGGCAAGGGTCCCAGGCAGGCAGGGGCGGGTGCAGCTCGGCGCTCGGTCCCAGGGGATGAGAGGCCCGGGCTGGATTCAGAGCACTGCACCTTTGGACTTCTTGAAGACGTGGAGGATGTCGGGGCAGGTGACGGCTCGGGACTGGCCGACGGGCACGGCCGACCAGCAGCTCACTCCATCCCACTCGGTCAGGCAGCCTGGGGGGGACGGGACGGTTAGTGCCGCCGGGA